GTTCTGACGAGCCCTCTTGGTAACTCCGATGCACCCCACAGTTTGAAATTCACTGTGTTAAGGAAGGCCAGGTATCGGAGTCTCCCCCCTGGGGCTTTAGGACCAAAAAATAAGGTCGTAGGTTATATTTCAGACTTTAACCTTATCTTCCAAGTCAGTTTTCTCCTGCTTCCTTAGGATTCTGCTTCTCCTTTTATTTCACACGAAAAGGTATGTGTGCCTTTGGGCAGAAGGTAGGGGAATGTCCACGTCTCCCAGTTGAATACAGTCTGGAGAAAAATGTCATGGCTGTGAAATTTCTACCAAGCAGACTAAGGGGCTTAACAGGAGAAAGCGGTCAGGATCTTTTCCAGGCAGCTCTTCTGCCGGAGGACTTGTGTCTACTCTGAGCCTCTTCCCGGTTAGGTAACAGGATGAGAAAAGCCTACAAATCGAATTCATGTTTCCACGACAGCTCGTCCTCTGAGCCGCATCCCTCGCCCTTATTTGAGTTCTAAAGGGCACTGCCAGATCTGAGACCCTGTCAGAACCTCCTGCCCCAAGGCAGGCCCCCAGGCCCTGCTCCGTGGCAGTGGCAGGAGGGAGGTCAGGGCGCTTGGGCAGCAAGTCCTCGGCCTCCTCTCCTTTCCCTGCACCGGGACGTAGGACTTGGACACAACTACTCACGGCGACAGAGACCAATCTGTATTTGAAAAATCTGAAAGGAGCTTCAATATCCTTCTGAACTCACAGACCCCAGCGGGTGGAGCCATGGGGGAGACGAGGCGTTTACAACTGGTTTTTTGTCAAGTGTGTCTGTTTTCCCCGTGAGAGAGCCTGAGGGTGGAGGACAAAGCAACGTGCTAGCACTCGGGCCCTGAGCTCTGGAACCAAGCACTTGGAGGAGGGATTAAGGCCCGAGGAAGGCCAGTGTGAGACAGTGGCACTAAAACCGCCCCCTCCCCCGTCCCCTCCATTCCCCTCCTGTGGGGTCTCCCTGCCTCCCTGCCGTTTCTCCAAGGCTGAAGATGCAGCTGAGAAGACCAGAGCTCCCAGACCCCAGCCGGTCTCTGGGCCATCGCTGCACAGGAGCCTCCCACTTCCTCGTGTGTTTTTGTTTTTGTTTTTAACGGAACAGTTTTTTTCTTAAATGAATTCCAACCCCACTGGACTCCTTTCCTTTTCCCTCCTGCCCATCCCGGTTCAGGCAGCGCTATTCGTGGATGGAGTCCTTATATCTCAGATGCATGGTGGTTCTCAGGTGGTGGGCGGGCAGGCGTCTTTGCAACACTTCTTGCATTCACTGGGCACAGACCCCCAAGCCAGGATGTATGTGTGTCTGTGTGTCTGTGTTTTATCATTTGGCCTCCCCTCTTCCAATCTACCCCCGTTTACATCATCTCATGGAGAGACTCGGCCGTTGTACATAGTTGCGGTAACAATCAAGCAGAGAGCTGGGCGTCCCTCACTGGTTCGTCTGATCTAATAAACTGGTTGAAAGTGAAATCCAGGCGAGGGCCAGCGGAAGAGGCGTCTCTCCACCACCCAGGGCCCCTCCTCTGGACCTTCTGTCCGTCAGGCATGTCTCCTTCCAGCGAGATTCACCTGTTCGATGCTATTACATTTCAATAAAGTTTTTCCTGTGTTGTCCGCTGCTCTCTCTAGCTCCCTCTGTCTGGTTTCTGTCTCCATTCCTCCATCTAGAAGGTCATGTGCCAAACCCAGAGGTAAGACCCACCTCCCTGGAGATACCTGACCCTCAAACCCTAAGCAAGAGTCTCTCAACGCCTCTGGGGGTGGGGGGTCCTGCCTGCATGTGGACACAGCATCCTTTGCCAGAGGTCAGTGCTCCTGAGTCCTCCGTCCACCGTCACGATGTTTGCAAACATATCCCCCTCTGGACTTGCCGAAGTTTTCTTCCAGGGGTAAAACTGAACTAACCCCTGGGAAAAGAAGCGGTTCTAATGGAGTTCTGCCTCTCCTGGCCACGGAAAGAAGGAAAAGAAGTCCGACTATTCCCTGCTGTGGAATTGCGGGGTCCGAGAGGCAGTCTTCTCCCCCGTGAAGTTGCCCTGTAACAGGGAGGTGGCAAATGTGCTGAGAGCGCACCTCAAAGTAAACAAGGAGTCATTCTTTTGGAAGAGTACTCAGAGGAGGTGACTTCATCCCTGGTTGTTAGCAGCCTAGCATCCCCAGTCTCCAAACTGGAGTGGGAATTGCTAACTGGTCTTTGCCACTTGGGAGTGAGTCACAGTTCCTGGAAACCATTTTAAGGCTTGGACCTGAACAGCTTACTAAGAATTGCCTGTTGCTACTTGCTCTGAACCTCCCACTGCAACAACCTGCAGTTCCATCCCTCCGCCCCCACGTGCTGGCCACCCTGCCTTGCCCCTTAACCCCACTCAGTGATCCTGCACTTGCTCCAGTACTGAGGAGTGTCTGCACCTTGAGCCACTTCCACGACCAGCCCTGGACACCATATTAACTACTCATTCCTCCACCCCTTAAATGTGCAGCCATAATTTCTCTGCAAAAAAATTTTATGACTTTCTCATCTGACAGGACTTACTCTCGAATGGTCATATGAGTGCCTTGAGGGGAATACCCTTTCCCATGCAGTCTCTCTCCTGGCCAGCCGCTGCCCAACTCACTGCCCAGTCCACTTCAGATTCTTCCCCCTCCCTTTGGATTCCCGAGGCTGGGAGATGAAGACTCACCTGGGCCAACGGTTCTTCTGTGTTAGGGGAAAAGAGGTTGGTTTAACGTAGGACCGCATGACCCTCTCCATCCACTCCCACCCCGCCCTCTCCTAAAGCAGAATCTTACGCCCAAAGGATGCGTGCACGTGGAGTCACGCGTCGAGCCCGCGCCCACCCTGTCGGGGCTCAGCGGCCCGGTCCCCCCGGATGGGCTCCCGCGGAGGCCGGCGCGGTTCTCGTCCGCGCGGCAGGGGGCGCTGTCTGCGGAGGCTCCGCCGCCGCCCCGCCCCTCGCGCCGCCGCCCGGCCTGTGCGCAGGCGCGGCTTC